TGGTAAATTCATTTTTTTACGTTTTTACCCCCCTGCGAGACGGGTATTAGGGTGAGGTAAAAGTGATACTTCTTTGAGGTCTAAAAATAATATTCTTTGCAAAATTCAGCTTGTTCGTATGATTTTTAGAAGTTAATTCTACATTCTACACTACATACCATAGCATGTTGTTAGAGAAAGCACCAAACATGTCTTCAGCCAAGACTGAAATAAAAGATTGGTTAACTAACAATAAACTGTGATAAAATTAATGGCAGATATCGAGCACAATTTTAATAATTAAATCTTGCCCAAGTACTTTTGCTTTTATAAAGCATCATCAATTGGATAGCCTAAAACTGACGAAAGTACTTGGACAAGATTTAATTAATAAAATTGTGCTCGATATCTGCCTTTAATTTTATCAAAGTTCATTAATTCGAGCATTCAACCTTACATCATTTTTAATAAGACAATGTTGAAAAACGAGCTTTTTCAGATTGTTGCGCAGTAAGTACCTACTTCTAATGAGAGTTAAGTTCAGGTTATAAATATTTATTTTTAGAAACAAGCCACCTTCAAAATACATTGTGGATGATTTCTGCAGGACAACATGGCCACAAAGTATTACATCTGCCAGTATACCAATATACCGGAGAAATAAAAAGAAGGATACGGTTGGCTTGGGTATCCTTCGGAAAACTTTCCTATATACTAAAAAAAGAAAATACCCCCAATATTTAAAAACAAGAGTCTTCAACCAATGTATACTTTCTGTTCTTACCTACGGTTCTCAAACTTGGACGTTGTATAAAGGAAAACATGGAAAAAATAGCAAATACTCAAAGAGCCATGGAAAGGCAAATGCTGAACATCAGGCTATCAGACAAGAAAAGAAATATTATAATTTATATTTATAATATATATATATATATATATATATATATATATATATATAATATATAAATATTATATTACAATAGAATGTATAAGTTTTTAATCGCGCCATATCTCCAAATCTCATAGTGCCACTTCCAATTTCACCACTATTTATAGAAAGGTGTCAAAGACACAAAAAAAATCATGTACTGTTCGTAAGAGATCTATGTCAGAAACCAGTGTTAAATCTGAAGTGGAAGCTGACGTAAATGTTGAAAAGAAACCGAATGAATTTGCTTACGAAGTAAAGTCAGGAAGAACTTTTCCAGCAGTTTGGACCAGAAACTATAACTACCATCCAATAAAAAAATCTATATTTTTTGAAAAACCAAAAACTGCTCCACAATTAAGAAGATTACATGGTACGTCGTCAAAGGATGTCTTCACTTCTGGCTTTTACCAGATAAACAAAAAAACTACAAAACAAATTCCTCCTTTTGTAAGAGTTACGGATATATACAGACAGGCCATGGAATGTACCAACCAATATTCAAACACAGAACGTCAAAAAACGAGAGTTACTAATAATTACAGCTGTGTAAATCTACAGTTGTCTCCGATAAAAGTCGAAGAATTTTTACACGAAAGAAATAAGGCCGGGTCCCAAAAACAGCGACCAAGAAAAAAACAAATAATCCAACCCAAACAACTTCCCCAAGTGCAACAAAAAACTAAAAAAGCGAAAACATCTACATGCCGCAACCTAAAGAAGCCGTTCGAGATTAAGTATCCCATTACAAACGTTAAACAGAAAATTACATTTGGTAAAATACATGTCAGCCGTAGCACTGATAATAAGTTTGAGAATAAGAAGAAAAAAGAAACACTTCATTTCGCAAAAAGAAATGGTAGAAATCATAAGCAAATATCGCAAGAAAGAAAGATATCATATAACAAATCACCTGACGAATCAAACAAAGGTGATACAGATAAAAAAAATAAATTAAAGCAAGAAAAGAAATACTTGGATCCGCAACAAAACAAAAGTGACCAATGTATCAATGCAGATAGCAAAACTTAAGTAGAAGTTCGCTAGACATACCATAAGACAGAAAGACGACAGATGGAATAAGATGATTATACATTGGAGACCATATAGTTACAAACGAAAAAGAGGAAGGCCACAAATGAGATGGTCAGATGACTTGAAGAAACACGCAGGCCAGAAGTGGATACAAACTGCCTACAATAGAAAGACGTGGAAGAAGAAAGAGGAGGCCTATGTCCAAAATTGGACAGCAAGGGCTGTATAGATAGATAGATACATCCAAAAAATCACTTGATATTATTTTTGTATCTGCACTTGATATGCAGTGTCAGTGCAGTATTTCAGAATTTTTGGATGGGTTGTATGTTCGTAATTCTTTTTGTATGCCTGAATAATCAATGTTATTTTATACGACACTAAATTTGTATGTAGATTAAGTTAGGAGATAGACTACCGACTGTTACCGACATATCTTAAAATATGATATTATCTAAGGTAAATTCTAGTTTTTTTATTAATTTTTCATTTATTTAAATAACTTTTAATATTGCAAGCATTTTTAAAATCAAATATTTTACCAAGTTATCAAGAAAAATAAAATTTACATTTTTATAAACATATATGTTTCAATGTATAATTTTGTATTGGACATTTCTGTTTTTGTAAAATATATTTTAATCTGTCCAGTTATACTGAGTGTTTATAATTTAGATAATAATAAATACAATTAGTAGATAACCAATTTAGGAAAAAACTTAACCTATTCGTTCTATTGCTTTATTATATTTTTTGTTTATAAATCCTCTAAAATATAGGATCCTTGAGTTTTCCTTGTCACCCAGAGAAAAAATAAGGTGACGACGGTCTTCCTTTTAATTTAGGTCTATTTTTATATCTACTTTTCTTTCACTTTTTTTACATTGTTTCTTACTTCAGCATCACTCATTCTCGAGATCTGCAGACCCATTTTAAAACTCGCCATTGTGCTCCTCAAAATACCTAAAAGCCATTGCAAAGTAAACTTTTGTAAACGTGGAATTCTTCTCCTAACTTAAATTCCAAGACCCAACTTCCCCTTGGAACAATTTTTTTCTTCAAACGTCAAATAATGCTGACATTACTTATCTTACTTGATCCTGTCAAAGTTTGATGTCTCCGCCGGCAGCAGTTTTTTTTCCCATTTCTTTACGGCGGAGGGAAAAATGTTGTCATGGCAACAATATGAAACATGTCACAAAGCAACAATACAAATTTCATTAACAACAATTAAACATCATTTTTATTTATAGTAATATTAAAAGTACAATTAGTTAATGAGGCATTTTCAAAATTGAAACCGTGCAAAAATGTTCCCGACTCTTGATACGCATTGGTAATTGTTGATGATACTGATGATCGAGAACAACTTTCAGCAATTATTCCCGATGTTGTCGAATCATAAAGGTTTAAAAATTTTTTGAGCATTATCGTTCTTATTTCTTATTGAATACTCTATATATCCTTCGGCAACCGTGCTTGATTTCCAGTCAACATGTCGTTTGAGGCATTCTAGATTTCCGCCTCCATCAATTAAAAGTGTTGCTGAAGTTCGTCGTACAGAGTGACCCGTGTATGCGCTTGCATCGTTTAAATTTAAATAACTAGCTAGTTTTTGGGCTATTGTGCTGATCGAATGTATTCCCATGAGGCTTCGGTAACACTTTCCATTTTGGTACTTGATAAAATATCGGTTTTCTGTGAAATTTTCAGGCCGCAGTGATGCATACTTTTTGTACAGTTTAATGTAGTTTTGACCAATTATCGTAAAATTAACAAAACAATCTGAAATATTTTTATAATTTAGTAGAGTATACTACATGCTTTGCAATATATTTTTTTTACCTTTAATCCTAAATACAACTTATCTGGCGCTTCAAACAAAAATTTATCAAACTCGTCTTTAGTGAAAACTTTAGACTTCTTTGCAGTACTTATATCCTTCTCTTGTTTTTTTCAGAAAGGCACGTAACTTTAAAAATTTGCTTATATCGACATTTTTTGTAATAACTAACTCGGATTTTATCATAGAGTATCGTGACCACATTGTAGAAGATTTTCATTTATTTTCATTTTCCATTATATTAAAATATGCCAGTAAAACGTCTTCGGTAACTTGCCGTACTCCTCTTGTATCGCACGACTCTTGGAAGTGCTTGTACGCTAACCGATACTTTATTCCGGACTTGGAGGGCCCCAAACGTGCTACTGCATCATTAGCCGCGGACTCAATTTCGTTTAGGTTTTCCATTTTCGCACTAAATTTGCGCTTGCGGTTGCAACAACAATAAGCTGTCTTTAATAATTGCAAACAACTGTAACCATGGAGACGCAAATCCCACCGATGACTTAATTATTAATATTTAATTTTAATTTCTACTTTGACTTTGATAGTTGTCACAGTTAATTTCGAGTAAAAATAGCGTATGAATTGTACTATTTATGGTTGAAAATTACTACGTTTGAAGAAAAAATAGTATACTTTATTCGGCAAAGAAGCGACTTTAATTTACTTGCCCTCTATTACGCGCCTCACTTACATCACAAATATCGGGCGCGTCAAGAAAAGTCATGCTTCTCCGCCTCATAAAGTAATATACTATTAAGCTACCTACAATGTAACCGAACTTCTGAGCTATCATTTCTTTCCATTCTGGTTTAATTTACGTTACGATATCGCGAGTTAAGTCAAAACAAAATTACAGAAGACGTATTGAACGTTATGCAGAGTAGGTTCTACAGTCAATATTATATGCTTGTCTATAAAGGAGTATCGTTAAAATCTCGCACAGTTGCAGTGGATATGAAAATGGTACTCTTAACCCCTTAAGCACGACGTTTGTTCACATGCACAAAGAGTTTTATTGAATTTACCATTAAATAATCCAAATGGAAGGTATATGTGCCGAAATGGTAAAATACAAATTACGTTTTTAAATAATTTTAAAATTGTCTGGTACGGAAATCATTAATATTTTTTTTTATAAAATATTTATGAAATAAAAAATTCATAATTACCATATAATAACGTGTTTATAAGGAACTTATAAAATATTACCTGCGCAATTTGATCAAACCTCCCGAAAAGTTCGTTGAGAGTTTTAACCAAATCTGAAGCTGATAATTGTTCCGACAAAGGAGTAAAATTCACGATGTCTGCGTAGAGGATCGAAACGTTATTGTGACGCTGCACGTACATTTCGTGAAAACTTCGATTGGAATGTTCTTGGCAGGCATCGGCCATTTTCAGCATTATACTGCGTTTTACCTGAAACAAAGTAAAATTGGTCAGACTCAAATATATTGATTGTGTAGAAAAAATTACTATATGGTAGTAGAAAGAAGTCAAAATGTGCAACATGGTCAATATACCACGTCGTCGGGCCGTGCTTTGTCAAACGCAAAAAACTGCACAGACTCTGAATCACTACATATCCCAATAAATTGAGAAACTTGTGGATAATAGCGAATTTTATGTAAATTCCTAAAAAAATTACTTAATTCACAAAAGGGGTTAGTAGAAAAATTTTACTGGTTGATAATAAAGGGGAATTTCTTTTTTTTTATTTATATATGAATGATTGTTCTTCGGATTATTTCTCGGTTTGAGAAAAAGTCTCCTGATTGTTTTCCGGCCTTATCGTCCTCTCCTTCCAGTTGGTATGAGAAGACGACGATTTTATGCTTTATTTTAATTTTTGTATTATTTTTTTATATTCGCCTTGGTTTAGAACCTTTAATTACGTAATTACAATACACATCTTAATACTCATTATTTCAGGATGGTACAGGGAGGCCATTTTTTACGATCAGGGGTTTATCAGAGCGACTTTATTATCACACACGAGACATAAACCACGGTTAGATAGGTGGGCAAAAAATAGATACACATACAAAGGAAATATCCTTTCAAACGATCCATTTTTCTTTCACACCTTTAATTTAATTTTTGCACAACTACCATAATTATAGTTGGGCCTATAATTTTAACTTAATTCTGTTTGTCGCTGTAATAATAGAGTTGAGATATTTACAATTTATTACTGAATATGTAATATGAATAGTGTGACCAACTAGTCCGAAAAATAATATCAAATTGCAATTTCTGTATTATAATTAGTAGACTTCGGCAAATATGCAAATAAAAATGTAGAAAATATGCGCATAAATATGCACGTGTTTACCCGAAAATATGCAAATATTTTACAAAATATGCATACAAATAAATAAACAAATCGTAAAATAGTAACAATTTTATTAAAAAAAAAAAGTGTACATAACTAAATATTTTCTACTATTCATTAAGATTTACATTTATTTTAAGTAACTACATCATTTTTAAGTATGAATAAACTTATTTAGAATTATGGTAACAATAAATGACCAAGTGGTGTTCAAAATTTTCTAACAAAAACTTGTGGCTTCTGTCTGAGTACATATATTTATATATGGAAAAACTTCGTTCAACATCAACTGATGTAACGGGAGCATTTTTCAAACTAACCAAAACATATGGTTCTAAATTAATTGTTTCCGAAATATTTCCAGCTAGAACACTGACTACTTCAGAAAGAATATGGTAACCTTTATTTTTTTCCATAGTAGCTTCAATTTTTTTTAAAATATCTTTTCCAATATTACGTCTAACGTTCCGACAACATGACGCAAATTCTTTTATTAATGCTGTACTTTCGAACAATGACAGTTTTGGTGATTCTAACTGAGTAATTGTTTTTTGAACAAAACTAAAATTTGATTTTATAAATGAAAGTTCTTGTTGAAGCAAGTTACTCTGAAAAGTTTGTTTAGAATCCAAAAGAGATTGGGAACTTTCATCTGTTAACGTATCAATTATGTTCTTTATTTTAACAAAATGATCTGCATAAAAATTAGCTGCTTCTAACCATGTTCCCCATCGCGTTTAAAATAGGTTGTGGTGGAAGAGGAATGTTAGGTAGCATTTCTTTATAAAGTTGAATTCTTATAGGAGACTTAAGAAATACTTTTTTGACACTGGATATCATGGTATTCACAAGAGGAAACTTTTTTCGTATTTCCTCTGCAACTCTGTTTAATCCATGCGCTACACAAGTAACATGTATTAAATCTGGGAAAAATATTTTTAAATTTTGTCCTGCTTTCACCATATAAGGAGCAGCATCCGATAAAATAAGCAGTAATTTTATTAGAAGGAATAGTTGGCGGAAGAAAAAAGTTGCTAATGTTTCTTGTATAAAACGCGAAATTGTTAAAGCATTTGTTTTCTCAAGTTGCTGGCATGAAATAAGATGAGATTTTGGTAAGGTATCTTCTTTAAGAACACCAATCAATAAATGAGCAATATACTTTCCTGAGGAATCAGTGGTTTCGTCTACAGATATGTAAAAAATAATTATCTGCAATTTCTTCCTTAATATTAATTAACACCGACGAGTATAGCCCGTTCACATTATTTCTTCTTAGAGACCGATCACTTGGAACATTAAGTTTGCAATATTTTTTTAGAAACGAACTAAAATTTACATTTGCTAATTTTGAAAGCGGTATGTTTGCAGACACTAATGCGCGACACAAGTCTTCATTAAAAGTTTCTTGCTCATCTAATTTTTTTGAAGTAGATTGGAAACATTTAGCCATTGAAGTTTGATGTTTTCCTCCTATTTTTTCCTTTTTTTGCAATGTGTGAAGCAGTTCTCACATGTTGGTCTATCTGAAATTTCTTCTCACATGCTATCTATAAATAAAAATAAAAACCTTTATTTTAACCCAACCTTTAAAATATAAAAATATACAAGGTGTTTTTGGTTAATCAAATAACTGGTTTGAAAAAAAAAACACTCGCTAAGTGTTTTAAATGCAGTATTAATCCACAAATTAGTTTTTGTTACTAACCATTAGTACATCATATAACTTATTTTAAAATTCAACAAAAGTTTTTTTTTTGTTAATTCAATTACAATAAAAATAATTGTGTTTTAGAATAGCTGACTTCATACAAAAAAGTAAAGGTGAAAAATTTTTCTAAATACACACCATTGTATTGTACCATGGACAATTTTTTCTCACTAAAGGAAGCTATTTTCCATTTAAAAACAACCTACGAGTACTAAATTTCAAGTAAATACGTTTATTGGTTTTAAAGTTATTGTTGTTATTAACTAAAAGAATTTAATTTTTTTTAATTTCAACACCCTGTATCTCGAAAAGTAAATAAGTTTGACCCCTCATTAACTATATCGTTTTGTTCAATTTTTCGAGAAGTATCTACAGTCGAACGTTGTAAGTGTCATTTGGAAACACCCTGTATGTATGAAATATTAGATATTTAATAGAAAATATTAGATACTTACAATTTTGCCACATACTGAACAGTAGATTTTTCCCATATCCATAGACAGCTCTTTATAAGGTTTAATCCAAGTTGAAGCACTGGTTGTTTTAGGCATTATAAAATCACAATCTTTCTTTTTGTTACGCACAACGAGTGTTTACGCTTTGAATATCAAAACAAAAATGATTTACAAATCTGAGCATCAAATTAGAAATGTTTAGGTACCTAATTCAATAAACTGGGAGATTTTGGAAAATCCCTAAATTAGGAACAAAACTATTAGCCGTTTACCTGCTGTTAAGATACAATAAATTGTAGATAGATTTGGGGATTATATCATACAATGCAAATGAGCGAACCCTTAGAGATTATCCAATAACTGAATGCCTCAGTGACCGAGACTTTCTAAGAATGTTGAGGGCTACTTAAATTGATCTTCTTTGAAATTGTAAATGTTTTGTACCTGTAGAGATTACGTACTTAGATCATTTCTTGATTAAAATGACTACAAAATTTTATACAAGAATTGAAATAAATTGGTATGTTTAAAAATTTTCAAATACAGTATAAAAATCTGAACTTTTATGCACTTTATGCAAACTTTTATACAAATATGCCAAAATATGAAATATTTGTATAAAATATGCACAATATGCAAAATATGCAATATGCATATTTGCCGAAGTCTAATAATTAGCGTCTTCTGACAAGACGATTCCAAAACGACGATGTTGCATACAAGAATGTAATTATTGCTGATCAATGGTTTTTTTTGGGTTTTGTCAACCCTTTTAAGTAAACAAACTTCTTGATTTCGTTTGTGTTATTTAAAATCAACCCCATCGAGTAATTTATTTCCAAACCATTTACATGCTTTAAATCAATATCAAATCCACTTCGTTGCAATATGATTTTATATAAAAATTGATTTTATATCAGTAATTATTTATTTTATGGCCAATAATGCAAGTTAAATAATCAATAAAATGATGATATTCTTCTTCTTAAGGTGCCGTGCATTTCTGCGTAGGCGTCCACCGTACATCGTCTTGTCAGGTGAGATGTTAAATGTTCTGGATTAAATAATTCTGTTTTTAGCAGCATTGCGAAGCATTTCATAGCTGTGGATTCCTGTCCATTGTCGAATATTGCGCAGCCATGACATTTTGTTTACGTCCGAGACCTCTCCTACCCTCTATCTTCCCTTCGAGTATCAGTTGCTGAAAAGTGTATCGTTCTCCTCGTATTATGTGCCCCAAGTATGCAGTCTTCTTACTTTTTACATAATTAAAAAGTTCCCTATCCTGTAAGCCCGCTCTTCTGAGTACTTCCTCATTTCTGACCCTGTCCGTCCATGATATGATGATTTTCATTGAAAACTTCCTGATTTCAGGTATTGTTTTTCAGCCTTTACCCGAATTCGATTGAATTGGACTTTTTTCAAGTTGGGCATTAATAAAAAAAAATAAATGACAAAAAGAGGTTACCTTTATTCTTAATTAATAAATTAATTACTATCGGTGTCCTCGGATGAAGATTCGTCGTCACCTAAATTAATAATCAGTGGTTCTAACTGGTGTTCTACAATAAAATTTAGTTCCCACATCTTGGATATGATGCCATTTACATGGTTGATAGCATTTTTCCAGGAATCCGATGTAACATTATTCATTGCTTCGCTGAAAAGTACTTTTACTTAGCTCAATGGGGTTTAGCTCGCAGTGATAAGGGGGCAATCTAAGCACACATCTACCTGAAGACTTAATTAATTTAATCTATTACATACTTTAGTTTTATGGGATGACTTTTTACTAGCGTTAGTAACTCAGCTTAGACATGTCGTCAGTAAATATAATATTTTTTGTCGCAACCATTCTTGAATATTTTCTTATAGCACTAGTTGGTATCTTTTTATATTTTTTGCTATGGTAGGACGC